AGAAGAGGTTTCTGACAGGTTCATGAAAACTGCTGTGCCCCTTATTTCCATTTGAGGGGAGTTTACATAGTTTTCTGAGTGAATGAGAGAACTTACTAAGAGCGAAAAATGAAAACACTTCTGTTTTATGAAATATTGGTGTTAATACACTGAATAGTAAGAAACTCATTCTTCTGGTCTAGTTTCAAAGGAAATAAAAATTTTCTGGTGAAACCACTCCGATTCCAGGAAGGAAGTGCATCAGTCAATATAATCTTAAAGGGAAATGGAGTATGATAGAAATACGTCAATTATGAGACTAAATGTAACACAGGATATCACCAACTCTTATTTTTTAAAATAATCACCCTTCTATTCCTTATAGGAGACATAGTAAAAACCAAGTGATACAAAGAGAATGCACTGTTAGAGAAATAAAATCCATTATCCCAGGGCTATTTTTATGGTATCATATAAGTAATTTCTTTGCATGAAGCATTAAGATAGATAAACAGGGTTACTGCAGATGACAAAAGGTTCATTAAACAAATCTCTGATGGTCCCACATAAAAAGGCAGGAAGAGCGAATACCTAACAAAAGAGTGTTGAAGGTTGTTGAAGCATAAAATTGGCTCGTGCTCAGAAGGTTAACATATTTAGAGAATACATGGTTTTAATATTTTTTTACAAAAACAGCTTATGGGAGTAGGGAAATGCTGGGATCTCAAGGGTGCTGCGGGGAGGGTGGGAAAGTTTCTGCAGCTGGGAGTAGAGGCGGGGGCGGCCTGATTCCCACGGGAGCCCCCAGTGGCCTGTGTTGCACACACCTGCTCCCTGGATCCGAGGAAGTGTTGGCTGGGGAAAGCTTTGGGGATAAAAATCCTCCCTGCTAATGAGATGAGAAGGTTGATTAAGTTTAGTGAGCCTGACACCAGCGGCAGCTTAGGAAGTGACTGTGAGTGGGAATTCTTCATCGGGGTAGGAAAGAAGGGCCTCAAGGTGCCCAAGATAGATTATTAAACATATATTATTATTATTATTATTATTATTATTATTAGTAGTAGTAGTAGTAGTAGTAGTAGTACCGGAGCTTGAACTCAGGACCTTGCGCTTGCTTGGCAGGCACAGTGCCACTGAGCTAAATCCCTGGCCCACACTTACATTATTGAAATGACTTAGGAATTGTTTTTCCTGGCTGAGAACAGTGTTTGTTTTTTAAGATTCCAGTATGTGGATTATTGTGTAGAGCTTTGCTCTTCAAGGTGTGTTCTGCAGACCAATAGCATCAGCCTTGCTGGAGTCGCAGTCAGCATTGTAACCGGATCCTTGAACGATAAGTGTGCGTATTAAAGTTGGAGAAGTACTTATGTGGCGGCCGAGAACACGGGCTTTAGAGTGAACCTGTCTGGCATTAAAGTTTGGCTCCCTTCCTTAATCTTGGCTGAGTTTCTTAAACGTTTTCAGTCTGTCATGTCTTTATCTGTAAATAGGGATAATAATGATCCTTACTATGTAGAAATATTTTAAATATGATAATACATGTAAAGCCCATAACCTTTATAATTGCTTGCCAAATGTCAGTCCTTGGTTAGAAATTATTAGATTTATTATAAAATTTTGGACAAAAGGTAAAACCAAAAAAACACTTGCAGGGATTGTAAACCCATTCGTTTATTATTTTGACTTTATGTAGTTTTGATTATAGACTATGGTTGCATGTTCTGCTTTTTTCTCTCGTGAATATAACATTAGCATTTTTCTACGCTAAATGATTCTGGGAGAACAAATACAGCCATGCTTAACGACAGAGTCTGTTCTGTGAAAGGAATCGTTGGTTGATTGCATCATGGTGCAAACATCATAGGTCACACTCACACAAACCTAGGTGTGGTACCGTCACTTGGGGAGGCTTTTGGATACAGTTGTGATGCAGTAGACCTGAGGTGTGAGATGGCTGCTGTCTCACAGTAAAGTTTTAAAATAAATAACTAGAAAGAGAACACTTGAAAAAAAATGGTAAGTAGAACGCAAGTACGTGCTGCATAAAATTTTTGTCGACAGTGGCCCTGTGTAAGATGATACTGCCTAGTGATGTTGTAGCTATCTGTCTGTGTCAGCACAGTCTGATGTTCACAGAATCACAGAATCGCTTAACAGCGTGCTCCTTAGAATGTGTCCCTGTCATTAAGCAATGCGTGACTGTTCCATAAACATGCAAGCCAATAACATCACCATGTATTGTCAAGATCGGGGACTATGTACTGTATGTAATTTTGTATGACTGGCAGTGTGGTAGGTGTGTTTATACCATTATCACCACTAACAGCTGAGCAATATGTTGTACAATATCAGGTGATAGGAATTTTTTGGCTCCATTATAACCTTTTGGGACTGTCGTGTGTGTGTGTGTGTGTGTGTGTGTGTGTGTGTGTGTGTGTGTGTGTGGCACCGGGGATGAAACTCCAAGGCTTTTGCACTGAGTTACATTCCCAGCCTGGTGTCTCCCTAAGTTGCTGAGTTGCCAAGACTTGGCTTGAGCTTGCAGTCCTCCTGCCTTAGCCTCCTGGGAGTGATGGGATTACAGGCAAGCACCCCTCCACATGGCTGTGTGGTTTGTTATTGACTGAAACTAACCTAATCCAAGCAAGCCACTGACATCCTTTCTCAGCTCTTTTCCTTGTCTACGTGCAAGTAGTGATATTACCTGGCCTGTCTAGTCAGGAGGATCTACTGAGAATGGTGTCGGTGGAAACATTAAGCGGCTGAATTCTGTATGCTTCTGTTATTGCAATGGGGTAGGAAAAGCCTAAAAACATAATTCCTTATTAATGTTACAATTCCACTTCTAAGACTGTGCTAACTAAATAGTTTGGGGTGTGCACAAAGGTTCAGCTGTGTGGATAGTCCTGGCAGCGTTGTTTTAGTGTGAAAGTACTGGGGCGGAATTATTACCCCAGTATCCTAAAATACTATGCAGACAATGAGAAAGATGCTGCAGACCTTTGTTCCCCGATAAGATACCCACTGGCCATATGTGGCTATATTTAAATTAATTAAGGTTCAATTAAAAATTCAACTTCCCAGCCACACTGGGCCTGTTTCAAGTGCTTCCTAGCCCCTGTGTGGCTAGTGGCTACCATAATTGGATAGCACAGATGGAAACATTTCCATCACTGCAGGAAGTTCGCGTGGATAGCAAGGCTGTAGAAGAATGATTCGTACATGGAAGGAGAATTCTTACCCAGTGGGAGGATTCATATTTGTCATGTACGGTACAGTATATGTGTGTGTGGTATAAGTTGGCCCGTGGTGCTTGGGACATAGCATGCCATGTTCTTATTTTTTCTAAGTTCAATCAAATCTGGCCCTAGTCATCCAAACTTAATAAAAGCTGGAGATGTGGTATAAGTCAGTGGTTGAATCCCCTCTGCTCCTGTAGGTTTACCGGATAGCTGTGTGCAGGCTTGGCATTTTTGCTTTTTGTTGCACAGCCTGTTGTTGGGAGTTGAATCTTGTCTTTTATACTCTTTAATCAACCCCATTCCATCAGTTGACTTTCCTTTGCATTTTACCGTGGCGATTTTCAAGGCTTCGGGGAAAGGAAGCCACATCCCTCTGTAGGGGTTGCAGGGATTGTGTTAGCTATAAGATGGGAAAGGGCTGAAAACCAAACTATACTACCTTACAGCAGGGACTCAGAGTCTTTTTGATTCATTTACAGATGTGTATGCTGCCTTCCCCTAGTTTGAGCCTCATGGACCCTCCCACCTCACCCCTCCTGGCAGCATTAGGCCTCTAGCCTCTGGCCTGCGAGATGGGTTACCTGACCCAAACAGAGTTGTATCCAGGCTCTACTGGTCTCTTGTTTCTTGTTGGATTTTTAACAAACCATTCCAGCCATCATGGCTGGGAAGGAGGCAGACTCTTGGTCCTCTTGGCCTGTGTTCAGATCCTGGCTGGCTGATCTCACACTTGTTACACTCGGCAGTGGGCACTTTACTTGTGAAAGGGGGATGAGGTTAGTGCCATGCTCAGAGCATCCTGGGCAGAGGAGATGAAGTCATAAATGCGTGGGGCTGTGCCCAGGGCCTGGCATGACTGAGACTGCCCACCATGCATTTACTAGTTCATGTGTGGGAATGGCTTTGAGAGCTGGTGTTGTCACTCACAGATTTCATTGCTGGCATGGAATCCTTTTGTTGAATGACTGCATGAGTTTCTACTCAGTAACTCAGTAGTATAAGCAGGTATATTAGAACTTTGAATTATGTTCTAAGAATAATGAGAATATTTTTAACCTGAAACTAGTGTGAGCTCACTTGTAGTCTTAAAACAAAGGTGAGGACAATGGATAGACCTGAAAATTTTAGTTTTGAGATTTCTAATCACCAGCCATGAACTTGAAATTAGGTTTTTTTGACTCTTCATTTTTATATTGACTTTAAAAAATATATTCTTATTTCTCCCTTCCCTGAAATGTTCCTCTCTCCACCGTTTAGGTCTTTTAGAGATACAGAAAAACCACGGGTTTCAAGTAACTTGTTTCGCAAGTGTTGTGCAAGACAAGCAAACATTTCTAATAAATTTTAACTTGATAAATGAGCGATGTCTTGCAGTAGGAGTAGTATGCGACACCATATGTCACATGACCACAACTGAGCCAGTGGTTCGCTTTCACTCTCCCTGTCACTCTTGCTCTCTTGGTGAGGGATTGTGGGTAATTATCCCCCAACAGCAAGAGGTTATGGAGGAGATCTTGTCTTCAGAGGAAGAGGAGAAAAGGCAGAGGAAGCCCTCACTTCAAATGAGATTAGAGAGGTGCATAAAATATGGGAAACAGTGCAAAATTTTGTAGAAAACCAGCACCTGAATAAGGCTCGGCAGTATGGGTGATATATATCTGTTTAATGACAGTGCAGTGTATTATTTCCACAAAATCCTCAAAAAGAAGCAAAACTAAGTCTCATAGGATAGGTTCCTTGTTAAAGTTGCATGAAAAGAGAAAGATTCCATTGAGCCAGTAGAGAGCTGTGATTTTGTTAGTGGTAGTAAAAATCGTCCCACATGAAACCCTCCTGTGTCATGTCCTTCACACTAGCCAGGAAGGATTTCAAAGGTAAGTGCTGGCAAAGTTATTTATTTTTCTTTATATTTTGCATTTTCTTTACTATTTTGTATTATATCACAGTATTGCCATCATGAATATTTTGGGGTTATGGAACAAATCATCTGAGTTCCCGTTATTTCTTGTGGGGAGATTCACCTTGATGTACAAGTGCTTTGGATTACAAGCATTTTTCTGGAACAAATTATATTCACAGGCTGTTACTGTATATTCAAGTAACTTTTCCCTCCTTTCGAAAGTCCCCATGGCTTTGGAGTTTGCATTTGTTACTGTCTGAGTTAGGATGCACAGGGCTGATGCTCAGTGAGATTCTGGACGCAGAGACCGGGGAATTCCTGCGTATATCATGGTTTCGCTACTTATTCAAACAGTTCACCTCAGTCTGTTTTTGTTTCTACAGAAAGTCCCCTTTTCTAGCTTAAATTTTGGACCGAGGAGAGCACAGCCAGCCACCCACCCTGTGGATCTGTCGAGAGGACAGAGAGGCTGCTCATAATATCCCACGTGCTGATTCCAGTGGACTTGGGGGCTGAGCAGCTGCTTCTGGGAGGCTTGGGAAACATTTTGAGCTCCTCCGAGCTGCTCCCCACGAACGAGTTCTTACTGTGGACCTTAGAGCCTCAGCGGTTTGGAAAGAGAAATGCTCTTTCTCTAAGTACATTTAGGGGAAGATACACCAACGGTTCCCTTTTTGGTTTAAATTTCATGTATTGTGAGGTGGAGGATGGGAGCAGAATTGAAAGAGATTAATACAGTATCTCTTAGAACTTGAGTTGGGTGCATGTATAGGAAGCCATAAAAAGGACTTTTAGTGGATTAAGAACCCACCTTGGGTGGGGAGGACACAGGTGGTAAAAGATCAACTTTGTAAAATAAACAGTAATGCCACGTGGAAGTAGTGATCTGAGGGAAGAAATGGACCTAATGTAATGAGTCAACCTAATAATCCAAAGATTAGAAGAGAGCATAGTAAAATGGTGTATTTGTCAAGGAATCAGAACTGTGGATCAAGGAGTGTCAGGCCCCAAGGATGATGGCCCATTGGACTTGATTTTTACTTACTCTTCACTAACATTGCTTGAGGGGTGTGTGTGTGTGTGTGTGTGTGTGTGTGTGTGTGTGTGTGTGTGTGTGTACTCACATAAAATTACAAGTCTTAGACCTAGAAGAAATTCATCATGAGACACACAGAGGTCTTCATACTGTGTGTGTTTACCATCTGTTTTAAAATGATGTGTCTGGGATTGTATCGCTGATTTTCTACAGTGATCACTTACTGTTCCCTTAATTGTAAGGTCACGTGGAAGGTGTGGCTGGGTATGCAGGGTTTTCCCCTGGCCTTAGGTAATCAGGTGCTTGTCAAGAGAGGAAAAATGTTCATGGTGTAGGTCTCCTAGTAGGGTACTGTAAAGTAATGCTGAGTGGGTTGGAATTTCCAGGATGGCAGGTGGAGCCCAAGGCTGAGAATGTGTGCAGTGTGTTTGGGGAGCCCGGTACATGAGTTTGGCAGGAGTCTCACAGAGCAGTGCAAGGTAAAACTAGAAAGAGGAGGTACTCTGCTGTGAGTACGGCTACTAACAGTGTGTTCCTAATTATTAGGCACTTAATTTTGTTCCAGGCCTAGGGGAAATGCTTTACACATTTGATTTATCAAATTCTCTCACGATTCCTAAGGAGAGGTGACTACAACGATCACGGCGTGACCCAGAGGGAGGCCAAGGCTCATAAAAACTCGCAACTTCTGGGACTTGGGCAAGGGCTGGGCTGCCAGCTTTCGGCTTTCCCAGCTGCCAGCCCTGCCTGTGGGGAGGATGGGTAGGACTGAGGCGGGCTGAGGTTGGGTGCTGGGTCAAGGGCATCGGGAAGCCTCTGCCCTCTGTCTTCAGACCTGGGTTGGCTTCCTCTGGGGAGGCTCTCTGTGTGACAAGGGCCAGACCGGGGCTGTCAGATGCAGGCTGGTGACCTTTGGGAGCAGTTTTATTTGACTAGTGCAAGCAGAAGATGCATTTTTTAAAAACTCTGAGAAATTGAGCTGGGGAGGAAGAGGAGGCAGCTAAGTGAAACTGACTCCTGTAGCCTGGCACACTTGGATTTTGTGGACTGGTAAAATGAAAATCAAAGAAGGCAAAAAATGGTGCTCACGTTGAGTCACTTACTTTATTTGATTGTGTTTGAGACAATGAATACAATTATCTACTATTATATAATCCTCATTTTGTAAAAAGGAAACACATGTTAATACAGAAAGGTAGCAGTAGCTCATACTCAGAATAAAGGATGGACCTTTGAATAGAACAAGTTCATTTCAAAAAGAATTGTTCCTTCCCTTTCTGCTCTTCTTGCTGACCAGTGAAGGCATCCTCATGACCCACTATGTTCTCGTTCTGCACATTTTGGCTTTGAGGTAGAGACTGTTTCCAGCCCAAGCTAACTGGGCGAGAGGAGAGGGTGGGAGAGCGTGGGTACTTGGTGTTCAGGTGTGTGGGTAGTCCGGATTGGAGGAGTGATTTTGTAGGGCAAGGAGCCTAACTGTGCAGGGGAGTGGGGGAGGCCTTTGTGAATTTAGAATGGGTGACACACGCCGGGGTGGATGGAAAATTTAATTACCACCTCCCAGCTGAGCATTAGGAGGGAGACAACACTGAATCCTCACCCAGAGTCTTGGGGGTGGAGACACGATTGAATTCATCTCACAGATTTGGAAGCGAGAGCTTGAGGAGTCCAGGGCACCTGATCTCGCATCCAGGTTGCAGAACTGGGGTTCTTGTCCCTAATCTGTGGATGGCACTGGTGTGCTGTTCTAGAACCTTTTCAGCAGCTTCCTGATGCTTGAGTGTAGCAGCAGTGACGTGCCAGGCGCCTTGACATGTGCTCCCTTTGCTTGAGCCCGTGTACTTGGTTGTCGTTGCCATCATCAGTACGGTATTTATTTTCTAACGCTGCTCTCAGCATATGGTGACTGGCTGATGGATTGGACTCTGTGACATACAGCAGGCTGCTGACTGGTACAGGTCTCTGGTCTGCTAGGCCCTGGCCTGCACAGTGGAAGGTGAGGGGCCCGTGAGTGATTGAAGCTTCCTCTGTGTTTACAGCCCTCCCTGGAGCTCAAGTGACCGCTTCGGATCAGAGCCTGTATTAGATCCTCCTCGGAGTGCGGCTCCTCCTGTGAACTGTGTGGCTGGGCATCTCTCTAGGTTGTGCGCTCCTTTGAATCTCCTACCCCTCCCCATTGAAAAATTGCCGTCCACAGAGCCTGTTCCTGGTGCCCAAAAGGCTGGGTCTGCTGGTGTGCAGATCATTGTTTTAGGAACCCTCCTTCCCTGAATATTCCCGAGTACATCCCAACTCCCCATCACTGCAGGATCTCACACCCGGGTCTCCACTGTGGAGCACCTCACCAAAGGGTGAAACCGGGACTGCTCTTGGTTTGTCCCCCTCAGGAAACCAAGGCTTGGAGACAGAGGCCTTTCCAGTGCTCAGAAGTAGCCAGGCTGCCAGCGCTGGCCCCCGCCTCCCCAGTCCTGGTTCTTCCCGGCACCCACCCTGATGCTCTTCTGCTCACACTGCCATGAGCCCCCGGGGGCGTCTCTGAAGACTCATAATGGAATCTTTGAACAGCTGCCCAAGGACAGTTTTCAGATTTTCAGCCATTTCTCTCCTTTAATGGAAACTCTGACAAACTAGTTGGTTAATGGGCCCCGGTTCTCCCAGGCCACTTAACTTCCTAATTTTCCAGCATTATCCGTGGAGAAAATCCTCTCTGTAGAAGCTTATGACTTAATGAGCTCAGTCAAAGGTGTCCTGGAGTTGTGGGCAGCAGCTTTGATCTTGTGGTAGGAGTTTGGGTTTGCAGCGTGGGGGACCAGGAAAAAGCTCCACCCATGATTTATTAATCACTTCCTTGGTTGGGCATCTCCCTGGCTCCCCGGGGTGGGGGCAGCATGGAGGCTGCTCAGGATCAGCTTCAGTCTGGGCTTTCTGTCTCCATGGGGCTCGAGCTGCTTCCACATCTTTGTTTCTGGAAGATTTTGCTCTGGCAGGCAGCCCGGTGGTGGAAGCAGAGGTGCACACCTCGTGTAAACCCTCTTCTGCGTTCAGGGTCCCTCGTGGGGCTCCTTTGTGGTACAACCAGCTCCTCCGAGCAGGCGGCGTGTGGGGCCCACTTGCATGAGCCAAGGATTTGCAGAGACCCTGCTGATAAAATATATGCATCATTGACTTGGTACTGAGGCCAGGTTTGTTTGTTAAAAAAAAAAAAATCTTAATGCATCAGCCATGAGCTTGCTGGCTTGGTAACTTGTGCTTCCTTGCTTGTGGTTTTTGTTTTTATGAGGCGCAAAGAGGCTAAGCCTGATCTCCTGGGCAAGAAGCTGCTGTGTAACAGAAAACTAGTCTGTGTGTGGTAAGTGGCTAATGGAGCTCTGCGTGCCCCCGGCAGTGTTCTCTGTGCTTTGTGGTCACAATCTCTTTGATCCTCTCATAGGCTTCCAAGTACAGGTACTAGTTTGAATTGTGTGTCCCCAAAATGTTATGTCCGAGCCCTAGCCCGTGCTGCCTGTGAGTATGACCTTATTTAGGCGCAAGGCCTCTGCAGGTGTAATTAGTTAAGATGGTTGTATTGGATAAAGGGTGGACCTAATTCCAGTGACCGCAGCTCTTTCGGTGAGAAGGGACACACAGACACACACAGAGGGAACATGGCTATGTGCAGACATGGGCAGACATTGGCACAAAGGACACAGAAGCCAAGGATTGCCAACAACTACCAGAAGCTAGGGAGGAAGGGAAGGATTCTTTCCAGTGTTGATAGATGTCTGTTGTCTTAAGCCAGTGGGCTGGCAGTAATTTGTTACATATGGCAGCCCTTGGAAATAATACAGCAGGAATTACTTGAAGGGCATTAACCCCATCTTCCAGATGAGCAAACCAAAGCTGGGAAATGTTAAGGATCTTGCTCAGGTCCTAGTGGAGACAGATGGATTGGGAGTTTC